TGAAGATTAGGGCGGGAACGTGAAGTTAAATTACCGCCAAATGATATTCATTGATATATTAAGGAAACCGAAATTAATTGATGAAAGATATAAAATAAGTCCATTATTCTTTTATGTTACCCATCGTGATTTTTGTTTGTAAACAGTGTTAGTACTAATCAAACATAAATCCACTGAATTTGATTTTAAGGTACACCCTAGTATATTTGAATAAAGCAAGGGAATATATCTTCTTTTTTAATTCCAATAATTATTAATTGAGTGGAGATGAATAAATGATGAAAGTAAGAAAAAAAAACTTTTGTATGGTACGATGTCATTTTCAAGTCTACCTTTGCTTCAGATGCAGAGAATGGTAGAGTTAAATTCATAAGTCTGACTCATGTTAATACTTCACTAGACCATCTTGTGACTCAATTATGACAAAAAGGAAGAAATGGAGTTTTGTTTAAAATAATAAAATCAGTTTATAAAGTTAAGAGAGAATTAGGAGCGAAACCTTAGGCTAACAAAAGTTAAGATTATTATATCATATCAGACACTCTTAGAGGTGGATTAAAAGTGGGTGAGAGACTGAGACACGAAACTTCTTGAGCATATGACTATGACTTGGGAAGCAAGTCATACGCGTACCTAATGGTTGGTTTCCTTACTAAAGCTAATGAAGCTTCAACATAATAAATTATAATTATCTATCTTTTACTTCTTATGTGATTAGGAAGGCTAAGTAAAGTATCTGCTTACCCGTGACTTATTTGCCGACCTAGAGGATCTTCTAACTTAATCTGCAATTTAGAAAATTTAATGAAAAGTAATTAGACAACCATGCGCATCAAATCACAACTATTCCTGAATATAATCATTCAAGAAGATGACCTTAATTTCCAACACAAAAGAGCTTAGACCGTATACTCACAGTATCCCAGGTTCGATTCCAGCTCCAAGTTTTAATCTGGGTCCTTAATAAAGGTCACACCAGAGGATACTCTTGTTCTGTGGCCACATTTGTAATTTGCAATTTAAACACACGCAAAAGTGAACATCAAAGGTTTAGGTGAGTATATATATAGCTTCCATGACAAGTATTTAAAAGGCATGTGATATAAAGGAGAAAATTTGCCCCCCAATCCCACATTTACTAGGACAAGGGGGGGATAGACATGTTACCAAATGGAGAAGATGATTCGGATCTCATGCGCCTGGTGAAGGAGCTTCAAGCTTCTCTAATGAGGAATGATAAGCTGGAGAAGGAAAATCATGATCTGCGTCAAGAAGTTGCCCGTCTAAGAGCACAAGTAAGCAATCTTAAAGCACATGACAATGAGAGGAAATCAATGTTATGGAAGAAGTTGCAGAGCTCATATGATGGTGGCAATACAGACGGAACTAATCTGAAAGCGCCGGAGAGTGTCAAATCAAACATAAAGGGTCAAGAGGTAAGGAATCCACACCTGAAGCCAACTATCAAAGAACAGTCTATAGCAATAAAGCCGCCGCCACCTCCACCACTTCCATCAAAAACAACACTTGGAAAAAGGTCTGTGCGGCGTGCTCCAGAAGTTGTAGAGTTGTATCGTGCCCTCACAAAGAGAGAGTCTCATATGGGCAACAGGATCAATCAGAATGGAGTTTCGTCGCCTGCATTCAACAGAAACATGATTGGTGAAATCGAGCATCGCTCCAAATATCTATCAGATGTAAATACTGTACAGGATAAACTTTGTCCATTATAACTCAGAAGAGGTGGTTAGATGAGAAGGCATATGGATTTAATGTCCATCCTAACCTAGAGTTCAACTCTTATCTACTTGCAGAGTTTTTACTAATTCATTAGAGAAAATGTATTGACAGATTTAGCAGAAAAGATTTCCTAATGATGTTTGTGCACTTGCAGATTAAATCTGACACTGACAGACACAGAGATCATATCCATTTCTTGATTAGTAAGGTGGAGGCTGCAACATTTACAGACATATCAGAAGTGGAGACGTTTGTGAGATGGATAGACGACGAACTATCTTCTTTGGTTGATGAAAGGGCAGTCCTAAAGAATTTCCCTAAATGGCCAGAACGCAAAGCAGATTCACTAAGAGAGGCTGCTTGCAATTACAAAGGGCTAAAGAACCTTGAAACTGAAATTTTGTCATTCAAGGACAATCCAAAGGATTCTCTGACGCAGGCCGTGCAAAAGATTCAATCGTTGCAAGACAGGCGAGCATGTATAAAGATTATAATTACTAGCAACCTCCTGATCTTATCCAATTACACGAGTTAACCACAATGAATCTTCAATTTCAGGTTAGAAGAAAGTGTTAACAGCACAGAGAGGATACGTGACAGTACAGGGAAGAGATACAAGGATTTGCAGATACCGTGGGAGTGGATGCTTGACACAGGATTGATTGGACAGGTAGGTGACTAATAGCTGCAATATACCAATAAAATCTGATTAATTGATTATGATAGAAACTATCACATCTACAGAAAAAGAACACTACAAAAACAAATATGAACTATCATAAAGAGATGCAAAGATACCTGTATCATTATTCTAAGCAAACAACATTTGGTTGCTCAATCAAACTATAAAAACTATCAAAATGTGAAGAAAATTCGCTTCGATTCACATCTACATTACTCTCACATAAGACTCAAGGAACCATTACCCTATTGCAGCTAAAATACAGCTCGTTGAGGCTAGCTCAGGCGTACATGAAGCGTATAACCAACGAGCTGGAAACAAATGGAGGCGCTAAAGAAGGAAATCTTATGCTTCAGGGAGTTCGATTTGCCTACACAATACACCAGGTACATAAAGTCATAAACTAATCTGCTTAATAACCTATATTCATATCTATTCAGTTCTTTCCTAACATCAATTCAATTCAGTTTGCTGGCGGTTTTGACGAAGAAACATTACACACATTTAATGAGCTAAAGAAGATCAGTACAAGTCAACCCAGAAGATAAGTATGTAACTGTTGAAAACTTTGGAAAAAAGCTGGTTTGATTTTGTGTATAAAGACTTGTGTGATCAGGTACAATAACTAAGAGAGTGAGCCATATTGTAATCTAGCTTATAAGATTATGCATTAGACATATAACACACTAGAGCTAAATTATAGTAAAATACAAAGATATTAATATAATATCTGCGTAAGCTCGTTCATCCCAAATTTCCAATGCAACAAGTGACGCAGTACAGAAACAAACCCAGCAATCAAAATCAGAAACTGAAAATTGGCATTGAAACTTGCAGATATCAAATATACAACACCTCTCGAGTTAAATATGAAGGTAATTAACAAGGGAAAATCGATCTGCGTTATTTCAAAATTATCTGAAGATATTGAAACACATACATCAGATTAGCAACTATCAAACTCATTACCCAATAACACAATCCGTCTTAAGTCCGATTTAATCTTCAAACGCGAGAAATCGACTAAACGGACACCAAATCTCAAACCGACGGAAAAATTCCGGCGAAGACGAATAAAAGAAGAAGCGAAGGAGCAAACCTCGATTCTTCAAGGAATACAGTGATACACGGCTCCGATTCCGAATTTCCTCGTCAATTTCGAAGTTCTGATCATCACCATCGATTCCCGAATCTGAGTTTTTCGAATTTCATGGCGCTCAAAAGACAAAGGGGAGATTTCAGTCATGTTGAGGTACTGAAGTGACGAAGAGACTGATCAATATAAACCTCAAGAGTCAGAGCTTCTCACCAAGTGGACATTATAGGCCCAAAAGCCCAATAAGATACAAACAAACAAGCATTGAAATACA